AAAAAAATTTTTTTTTTTTTTTTTTTTTTTTTTGCTCTATTTAGATTATAAAATGTGTAGTAAAATAATGCATTGTGCAGAAGAATTGTATTCTTATTTATTGTTAAAAAAAAAAAACTCATTGACTAATTTACATGTTTGGTTGGGGGCCGAAGTCACGCATTTTTTCCACTGATTGTTTCATACTTTGTTATTATTTTCTCTGCCCATTGGTTGAAAGACTGAAAATTCTTATTGCTTTTTTTTTTGGCTATTCTTCTCCACTGGAAAATTACTGCTTTCCATACTGATTAAAGTTAGGAATTTTGATAAAGCATTTTCATGGTTTATTTATTTTCTCGCATTACAGTTAGTCTTATTGCTTTGAAAAATGAGCAAGAAAATAAAATTTCTTTTGTCTTGAGACTAAAATTATTGTTCATGGATTAATTTTACAATAAGGAAAAAGATTACGAGTAGTTTTATAGTCTGTTGGAAAATAGCCAGTAAGTAATATAGTTCCTGTTATTTCCCGTCTTTTTTCTTCTTTTTTAGAAAGGAAATTTAAGTGCTTCTGTGATCACAGTCAGCAGTAATACTTTTAATACAAGTACATGAAATATGAATGCCGGAAACGTAAAATGATATTGCCGGAAGTTTTAAGGGGAAGCGGAAACCAAGAGGATAAGTGCCATAACACTTATATGAGTTTGTTTTATTTGTGAGTAATTTTTTGTTTATAATATGCAAAATTCCTTGCAAAGTGTAGTACTGTAATTTTAAAAAATTATTTGTCTAGGATGTTTTTTTTAGTAGTAACACCAAAAATTATTTTTAAAAGTTTTTTTAGCAGCAGACACTCTCCAGTTGAATGGGAAAAAAATTGGTAATTAACGAATTGTCAGTAACCAAGCTTATGACATAGTGTTTGAAACACTGTACAGATTGTAAAATTATGACTAGAGAAGTTTGCAAAGGGTATTCTGGAGTGGGAAGGTCGTAGAAATTTTGCTGATGCAAATGATACAAAAATCTACATTTTCAAGTGGACACGAAATTTGTTTGTTGATTGATTGTAACATGAAAATGAAATGTTAATGAAATTGAAGCACTGTACTAACACCAAAGTTTCAAAGTACAGTAGTACTATTAAAATAGTTACCGAGACGATTGTTGTGTTGCAGATAAACTAAAGTTCATTATGACGTAATATGACGGAAAAATCCTAGCAAAATCAACCAGCTGGAAGGATCGAAGTAACTCAGGTTAAGTTGAAAGTTTAAAAAAATAAGTGGAATTATTGCCGTTGTCAAGTCACAGTATATCGGTTTTCGTCTGGTCTGTTAGTTCAACTCCTTGTTTCATGTTGATATTTACTTTATTAGCAATTCAAAATGCATCACGCGATCTGTTGCTGTCAATTAGTTGTACAGTTGTTGATATTCAAAACCAAGGTGCTACCATTACTTCACGCAGAGGAGCGTCTTTAATTAGATACTCAATTTAAGTTGGATATTAGATTAGTTGGCATGGGTTTTCTTTTTGGGCTTCAAAATTTTTTTGAGTATTGCTTAAATTACGAAATTCAGGTTAGGTGGGCCACAACGCACTTAGATACTGTTATTGAGTCGTACAAAGAGCATTAAATACAAAAGTTGTTAGTAAATTCATAATTCTGCCTCAGAAGCCGATATGAGTAAATCTTTAGAAATGTCTGCAGAAACTTAGTGGTTGGCAGATTCTAAACTAGTCGTTTGCTTAAGAAGTTGAAGAAAAATATATGCATGCTTAGCACGTCCCTTTAAGGCACCGTCAAATCACTAATCATAATAGTAAGCGGCAGTTCAGGCTAATTTTATAACTAAAAAATTTTGTTTTTGGACTTTTAAAGATATTTTAAATAAAGCAGTTCTTGTAGAGCACAGCTTTGTCCGGGTTTCACTGATACTGAGTATATATACCAATGAGTCTAAGGGCATGATTTAATGATATACGGTTTGATAAATTAACAATAATACATCCAAGGCACAGGCTACGGCTCCACAACTAAAAATTCTGCCAACTTTATTTTTTACTTTCTAACGAGCTGCACTATTAAGGTTGGACAGAAAGGAGCAAGAAGTCATTCAAATTTGATTCCCTGTGCTAAAGGTAGAGCTTTGCCATAATTGATCGTACAAGTTGACCTTCGCATATACTGTTTCCAAGCGTCGGAACCAGACTCACGACCAACGCCGGTTTCTTTCTCGCCACCAAAAGCTCCACCAATTTCAGCACCTGATGTTGGTATGTTCACATTTACAATACCGCAGTCGCTCCCTCTAGGCCTGCAAGGTTGTTTGTTTCTAAAGATACATTAGCAGATTTGTGATTTTGTAGTTTTAAGAGGTTCTTTTTTTTGTTTCGGAAATTGACAACTAAGCAGAAGATCTTTTACCCGATCCATTTGAATACATCTTGAATATTTTGTGTGAAAAGAGAACTTGATAGACCGTGCGGTACTTCATTATTAAATTGGATAGCTTCGTCAACATTTTCTACCTGAAAAAATTTCCCAGTGAGAATTTGTGGCAGGTTCTTTTTTTTTTCTTTCCAGCAAGTATTTTTTTTTTGTTTTACATGAGCTTACTATACCTTTATGATGTATAGTATTGGGGCGAACGTTTCACAGTGAACAATTGGTGCATTATGAGCAATATCAGTTATAATAGTTGGCAAAACATAGTAACCAGGTTTATCTGTTAGACGTTTGCCTCCGAAAGCTACTTTTCCGCCCTGAAACGAGACTGCGTTGGATTTTTTTTGGTCATTATCTGGCTTACATGTATTATGACGTTTAGAAGATTATAAGGAGTGTATATCTTTTAGAGTGGTTACAATAAACTTTTAATAACCATTTAAAGAGGAAGGAAGTTAAACCTCAGTAATTACCATTTTAATAGCTTCGTCGATCGCCATCTCATAGTCTTTCATGCTTTCCTTCGTATGCATAGGGCCTACTAGAGTGTTTGGATCAAGGGGATTTCCAATCCTAGTTTCAATTTGTGCGTACGCTTTTTTTATCCGACCAACCACTTCGTTGTAAACCTTTTAAAAAAAAGAGCTATTTGTTGTGGGAAATAAAAGATAATTGAAACTCCGTTATGTATCAAAAATTCACTTGTGACGGCCGCTTAATCTCATTGTTAAATTGAAAACAGTTTTACCGCTTTATGTACAAGCAATCGCCTTGCTGAAGTACATCGTTGACCTGTGGTTCCGACAGCAGCAAATACTGTGGCTGGAATCACCATGTCGAGATTTGCATCGTCATTCACAATTATAGCGTTATTCCCACCCAATTCGAGGATCATCTGAATGTCGCAAGTTTTATTTGTACATTGAGATTAGCATTATTTGGAACATTTGGTTTGAGTACCAAATGAGTGACAGCTCTAATACTTGATCATTAATATTACCTTTGCAAACCGTTTAGTAAGTCTTTCTCCAATTTTCAAACCAACTTCCGTCGATCCAGTAAATGAAACTAGTTTAACACGACGATCATCAACTAACGCACGTCCTGCATTCCCAATAATCAGCGTACATAACCCACCATTAATATCGTTTTTCTCTAATACCTTAAGTTTTACCGTCATAATTTACTGTTGCATGCTTTAAAGTGGTAATTAAAATATTACTATGTTTAATATTAACAGTTATCGGCCTGTACCAATCTAAACAAACCTTTTGTATGATCTTTGTAACGGCAATGGCAATGAGCGGTGTTGTTGAAGCCGGTTTCCAAACCACTGAATTACCGCATACTAATGCTATTGCGCTGTTCCACCCGTAAACAGCGCATGGAAAGTTGAAAGCTGAGATAACTCCGACAATACCTGGAGAGCAGTTAAACTCAAAAACAAGAAATTGGAAGTCTTCAGTCATCTTACTTTCTTAATTAACAGTTATCAAATTGTATGCGTAACTTTGAAGTTCTGTCATAAGAGAGCACCAAGTGGATTCCATTGTTCTAGAAGAGCATGCCCAGGTCTTTCAGATGGAAAAACGTGTCCAGCAAAGGATCTAGAAAGTCCAAGTGCAAAGTCACATATATCAATGATTTCTTGAACTTCTCCGACACCTTCCGCTAGTATTTTTCCCATTTCCAGTGATACCTAAAATCGTTTTCAGAATAAGGTAGAAAACATTAACTACAGCGAGGCTTATCAAGGACGAATTTTTAGCATATGGGGTAAAAGATGCTATAGCAGGTCAATGAATAGCTCACGAGTTTCCCAAGATTTTGCCGATTCTGTCGCAATGCTTCACCAATTTGGCGAACAATATCACCTCGCTGAGGGGCTGGTACTTCACACCACTTTTCGTACGCATTTTCAGCTGACTGTATCGCTTTGCTATAATCTTCTTCAGTGGCTGAAAATTGAAAATAATGTCCGTCTGCTTCCGAAAAATATCAGTGCTTTAGCAAATGGAAATCATGAAAAGCAATTCTTGACTGCTAACCTGTCTTTACTGAAGCAATTACCTTCTCGTTTGCTGGGCAGATAGAATCCAGTAATGCGCCATCTCCTCTCCACTGACCATCAAAAACACCATAACAATTTTCTTCTAATCCAAGTTCTTTCAAGAACTCATAACCGGGTTCATTCACCAACATCAGCAAAGGCTTTGAATAAAGTCGGTGAAACTGTTTATTTCGGCTATTACTCAAAATTTACTTGGAAAAAATAAATAAATACAAAATATCGATAACGTAGATACGTACGTTAGTACTGACGTTTTCAGGTATTTGGAGGACTCGGAAATCAATTTTGAACCGTTTTTAAATAAGCTTAAATTTCTCTTTTTATTTCTTCGTGAATTTTCTTTACGATATACATATATTCTTTTCCGGAATGTATGATACTGTAGGCAAACTATGCTGGCAAAATAAAATTTAGGAAAATTTAATTTTATAATCCAAAAGCATAATAAGTTTTTTAAGAGTGAAACAGTTTAGACAAATGGTTTCATACTTTGTTCAAGTTGTTTAACATGTTGTCTAACGGCTAAAATCTATTCCAGAATAACCAACAAAACCACTAAAACATTTTCTTGTTTATGGTTTGCTACAAGTATTCAAACACCACTGCAACAAATGTACGCATTCTGTTATTAGCCGTTTTTTCAACCGAAGAAATCAACAGACCAGTTAAATAACACTGTACAATTATCCACCTTTGAGCTATATTAAACATAGTAGAAAAACTAGAAATCCCTATGAAACTTTCGATTTATGGAAAAAAAAGTCTAGTCAATTAAATATTTTTTTTTCATCAAATTTGGATTCCCAAAGTTTTAAGAAAAGCTGTTGTAAAGTAGAATTCATGGTGAAGCCAAATTTAGTAAACGTTTGATAAGGCTTTCATTGATTGTGACATTCAATTACAATAAATTAATCAGTTTAAAAAAACAATAACGTTATAGAGTAAAACAAAGTAATAAAATCTTAAACTTAATAAATTAGAAGAGAACAGTAGACGTCAGTCGTATTCGAAATCAATAAAAATGATTGCCATACTAATCGGCTCAACAAACAGATCAGTTAAGATTTTAGGAAGAAAAAAATGTTTTTCAACAAAAATTACAAAAAAACATAGTTTTCTTTTAGAAATGTTACTATATTTACAGTTGGTTAAGTGTTGCTTCAACTTTTAATTTGCACTGGTAGACAAAAGTATTTTGTGCCACTTTTTTAACGCTGTGTTTTCTGTGCAGTACTTTGACGACATATTTTTGCAGGAAACCGACAAACTTAAAACAGTTACAACTGTCTATTTTACTAGTGTTGTGTCAAAAAAACCAAAAAATTTTTTTCAAACACTTATGAACACTTATACAATTTGCTTTTTCTTAACCTTAAATGGTCAATTTTTCTTGCTAACTAAAAAAGTAAACCGGTCAGAAGCGAAAAATAAGCATTTTATTTTTTTTCAGCAAAAAAAAAAA